ATATCATATCATATCATATCATATAGGGAACTAGAAACTCTGGAGCCCAATATAGTAGGTAGCTGGAGGGTTAGGGCAAAATCACGGGTTCAGGGTTTAGGGTTCAGGGTTTGGGGTTTAGGGTTTATAGGGGTTAAGGCTTTTAGGGTTTTGGGGTTCAGGGCTTAGGGTTTAGGGTTTTGGGGTTTTGGGGAAACCAAACGCCTTTTTTACTCGTAGTCCCGCGAGATGTCACTTCGCACCGGGTTGCCCCGTATGAGGCCAGTGGTGAAACCCTGGGCCGGCACGAAGGCCCGACCTGAGCCAGACTACAATAATCAGAAGAAGAAGAAGAAAAATAATAAAAACAACAACAAGGAGAAGAAGACTAACAATAATAACGATAACAATACTGAAAATAATACGAATAAAAAATAACAACAACAATAAACATAATAATAATGAAAAGTAGAGTAATAAGTAGCAGTATTCATGATACTTATATATGCTAATGCAGATAGTGCAAGCCAAATAAAATTACATGAAGGGTTTGAGATTGAGCGATTCGGCCTTTAGGCTTCAAGTTTAGGGTTTAGGGTGTAATGCAGGGGCCTTAATCATTGCAATAGGGTTTTGGGGTTCGCTACAGTATTGTTATAGTAAGGAACCCTAAGGAATAATACTGGCAATCATCTAGGCTTCTGAAGTATCGCGTAGTGGATTAGGGTTTAGGGTCTTTTCACACAGGGCCTCCGAAGCACTTCAGCGGGTTGAGTGAGGAGGCGCAAGATCTTACACAAGGGCCTTAAAACTTAAGTCGGATTTTATGCAGGGGGTCAATACGGGTTTCCGCTTAGGGTACAGGACTTGGGTTTCGGATGGTTTAGAGCAGGACGCTTTAATTTTTGAAACCTTGTTCTGCCGAAACCCCCATGTAACCCCCCCCCCCCCAGACGGAGTCCCTGGGAAATGTTCTGACAAGAAATTCTGGAAAGAGCTGGAAGCCCTAAGCGCTAAACCCTCATCCCTGTGTAAGCCCCAAAAACTCTAAACCACGAACCCTCCCAACTCAGAACCTGAGCCCCTCCACCCAAAAGCCTTAGCCCATACACTCCCCCAAGACACCCAAACGCCGCAAACCCCTTAGAGGGCTTAGAGCACGGATGAGACCACAGGAACTGCTCTGATGGCCCGTATATACCTTGGACGTTTGCGTTTATTGTTTCTGCAAGCAGGTTTCTGTTGAGGGGTAGCTCAACACTTCAACTGCCAACGGCTCATCGTACGAAGCCATCGAACCCTAAACCCCTACAACCCTTATAGTAGCCCTTATAACCCTCATCATACCCTCATAGTCCTCAGAAGCCCTTGCCGTGCCCTCCAAGTTCCGGGCGTATGACCAGGCTCTGCCTCACCAGCATCAGGCAGAAGAGGACCAGGATCACCTGCATGCTGCGCAGCCCAAAGGGTCCTAGGTACTGTTATGGGGGATACTTTCCCAAATCATAATAATAATTCCTAATATAGAAACCCTAGATTCTACCATATAGGTACTTTGGACCTTTTGGGCAGGTGAGTCTCTTTGTGTTTCGGGGTTACCTGGACCCCAAAAAGTATGTGGAATACTGGCCCTTTATACGCCATGTGCTTTTGTTCCTACTCTTTTTTTTGGGGGGGGGGGTTAAGTAAGAGCTTCGTTGCGCGGGTGGTCATAGGATTCTTTGGAAATTGCGTGTGGAGCCGCTTAAGGAATATGTGTTTGCCGTGCCGGTAACTACCGGGCCTGACGCCTCACACTGGTCCTCCGATGAAGGAGGCAGGGATCCCTAAACCCTAAACCATAAATCCTAAATCCTAAACCCTAAACCCTAAACCCTAAACTCTAAACCCTAAACCCTAAACCCTAAACTCTAAACCCTAAACCCTAAACCCTAAGCCATCCCTCAGAGCCTCAGGGTCCGAATAGTATAGACTTTGCCCTTAATGCAGTCCCTATATAGTACTTTGGGGCCACAGTATATACTAGTTGGTTTCATGGACCTTTAGGGCATCTTTACCGATCTATATGGGGCTTCCGAAACTAAGGGACCCTAATATAGTACCCTACAAATGGTGGGATCCTTATTATCAGGACCCCCAAAATAAGGTACCCCTTATTTTCGGAAACCCCCTATCACATAGGGCTAGCTAGAGTGCGGCGAAAGCGGTGCTCCCGACAGGGATCTCGGACCTTCTGGGACTGTTCGTGTGTGGGTGCCCGGGGCTCAGGGTCCGGCTCAGGGGTTTGGGGTTTGGGGTTTAGGGCTTTATGGTTTTAGCGTTTTAGGGGTTAGGGTCCATACTTCAGGTTTAGGGCAACCTTCCCACTATTCGGAACGACCGCCCAAATAAGCATTCTGAGAAGCCGCAACAATCCGAAAACCCATCCGATGAACCATACTGTCGGACCACCCACAACCCCAAGAACCCCAAACCCTGAACCCAACTATGTAAGCTCCAAAACCTCATAGCCTGAAGCCTTCGAGCCCTAGCAGCCCTATAGTCAACCCCAAAAAGTTGGAAACCGGATTAAGGACAAATAGTGCTGGGATTCCCTATACATTACTCTTAGGGATTGAGGCTATTGGGTTTCCAACTTTTGGGCTTCTACTATAAGCCCTAAAACAGGAAAACGACCCCCGAGATCTGCCGAAGACGTGGCCGTCGTGATGAAGGCTCCCGTCTTGTCGAAGAGCAGCCAAACCACCTCACTTTCACAACTAATGTAGGAGCCTTAATCATTAGAATGGGGCTTTGGGGTCTATTAGACTATAGTTACAATACGGAACCCCCCAAAATAGTATTGGTAAATATTTAGGCTCCTAGAGTAGGGTGTAGAGTTTAACGGTTTAGGGTTGACGGTTTAACTCGCAATGTTGTTGCACTGTTTAACCATTTGGGAGTTTCCGAAAATAAGGGTACCTTATTTTGGGGTCTTTATAATGAGGATCCTAGTATTGGGGTCCCCTGTTTTCGGAAACCCCCATTTCGGGCTGAGCCAAGGGTTCGAGAGTCCGGGCACTTCTGACCTGCTGAAGCTTGCTTCTGCCGAAAGTGGGTTCTACTTGGCTGAAAGCTTGCAACTTTTGCCCTCCTAAACGATTTAGGGTTTAGGGTTTAAGGTTTAGGGTTTAGGGTTCAGGGACCCTAAACCCTCCTCCAATGGTGCTTCTGACCCACGCCTACATGACATCTCCCCTCAGTATTGTCATGGAGACTTTAACTTGTGTGTTTTTCGCAAGCTAACGGCAGCTAATGCTCCAATCCGCTGAACCCTTAACGCCAACATGCATATACATAGAATCGGAGTAGAATGCGAAACCCGAAAGCGCATTATGAGGACACCAAGTACAACCCTAAGGGTCCATGTACCTAAATAGTATATACCTATTTTGTCCCTAAAGTAGTCCCTATGTAGGAACTTTGGGGGCCAAAAGTATATACTGCATGAGCACATGGACCCCTAGGGCAATCTTCACCTCGGTCTTGTGGATCAGGGTCAAGTTTGGGACTCTAGGGTCAAGGGTTTAGGGTTTAGGGTTTAGGGTTTAGGGGTCAAGCTTTATGGCTAGGCTTTAGGGTTTAGGGCGTAGAAAATGGGGTTAAGGCTCGTTGAGGGTGTACAGGGCGTTTGATGTTTGGATTCGTAAAGTTAACGAATGTATAGCTCGCAAAGTTCTGGGATCTCCTTGTTAATGGAGGTGTCTAGGTCATATGAGTAAACTTTGGTATATCCAAAACCCTATTATGCTGACGAAGGCACCTATGATTGGGGTTTGGGTTAAAAGGTTCAGCAGTGTTACCAGCACTTACAGTTTAAAGGGTCTCCAACAGAAGTGCCGAAGAGCTCTGGCTTCGGGTCTACACGACAGCCTTAGAAACTCAAGCTACAAGTAGCACTTGGAGGTACAGGGATTGGGGGAAAACGGGTTTTGTATAATAGATCTTCAACCGCATTGCATTCCTGGGCTCGTGTTGTTTAAAGGCAAAGCTTCGGAGTTCATAGAGGGTTTAAAACATAGGATTCGCGAGGCTGGCACGTAGTCGCGATCTGCATGATTGCAATTGGAACAGAACCCACCACCCGGGCCAAACCACAAGGGGGACGAGGGAGGCGACGGGTTTCAATGCAATTATCCGTGTGGCAGCCAGGCATCTGCACAGGGGAGAACCGCACCAGAGCGAATGCTACACCACAGGCCATTAGCAAAAAGCTGCAACCATAGCCGCTCAGCAACCAGGCCCTGGTGGGCTACGACGAGAAACCAAGAATCCAAGCAAAACCACAGGCACGACTCCACAGGGATCGCGGGCCCACAGAGCGGGTGGGGGAGGGGAGCGGCCAACGAATCACCGCACACAGGGGGAGGGCAGCAGCCCGGCACAATAACACTGTCTATCTATCTGTATACATATATATATATATACACACACAAAATACTGATATACTAACTTAGCTCCTTCATTTGCGGGATGGTTGCGACTCGAGTAACACAACCCTACTTCAGACCTCCTCTCGGGAAGCCCACTGGAAAACTTAACCCGAAACCTTGAACTACGTAGACTGCGAGCTGAGGCTCTGGCCAGGATTGTGGACATAAAATAGCAGAACAGCCCCATGATGAAGAAACGCATCGCTTCCTGCTTGAATCTTGCAGGTTGTGGTGCTTGGCTCAACGGGCTTCAGGATTCGCCAAAATTCAATTCGTTCAGCTCCTACGTTTTACAACCGGCAAGCCCATGCAAAACTTCAGGCCTCAGTGGCTTGGGGACTTAGTGTTTAAGTTTAGGGTTCTGAAACTCAAAACGCCCGGCCCCGTGGCAGTGTCTACACCCTGCATGCTAAACCCACCTGACCTCTGCGCAAACTCACGAAACTCTAACACAACCGAAAATTGTCAGATCTGGCTAAAGGGCGGCAAGGTCATTAAATTGAATTCTACGAGTTGGTTCCTATGTATTGTGAAATCCGACTCAACACGATGCCGTTTCCGAGCACGGGCTTTGATACTTAGAGCCGAGTCTTGGGTGTAGACCATGTCGATTCATGTAGTATTACCGCTGGACCAATTACCCCAAACCTGCGTGATTCCGGGTATTCTTAACGCGGACTCGACGGATTTGCGACGCAAGATTTTAAGCAAACAAAGGATGACCGTATGTTGCTGAGCACTTCCAACAACGCGCCATGAACAACGATTTGATGTGTATATACCTACTGTATACGTCGGAGTATGTATGTGTATATGAACATGTACACATACACATTAGAAGTATACACAAATATATCAACACATAAAAATAAGGTGTATATATATATATATAGCGAGAGAAAGAGAAAGAAACATTCACGCACAAACACACACGCACACACACACACACACACACATATATATATATATATATACATATAATACAAATATTTGTATAGACATAAATATTTTTACACATATATGTAAAAGTATTCAATGGATAGCTGTATTTATGTTGCTGAGCATATCCAACAACGCGTCATGAACAACGGTTCGATACGTCTATTACTACTGTATACATAGGAGAATGTATATGTATCAATGTACACACGCGTACAGACATATATGTATATATATATATATACATAGATATACAAACGTATCTTCATACAGAAAGATACAAACCAACACACACATACACGTATAAATATACATTCATATGTATACGATATGTATACATGTATATTTATTATGTAGGCATTGTGAATACATTACAACCATGTGCTTGTAGTTCCGTATATGTGCATGCATGTATGAGTTTAAGTATGTATGCATGTATGTATGTATGTATGTATGTATGTACGATATATGTATATATATATATATAAATATATATGCAATACAAGTATGAAAGGCGTGCATATGTGTGTGTGTGTGTGGATATCTACGTGTACATGTACATGTATATGTATATGGGTAACATGTATATGTGTGTGTATATACATAT